AGCTTCAAACGACGCGTCGACTATTAAATCAGTCGTCGACGATTTTGATAGTCGACGTAATCGTGACTAGTCGACTAATCGTGGCAGCCCTAATCTCATCTCATTTAACCAAAACGTGGTTAAGTTTGAGCATCTCTCCACAGGTGTGTTCTGATGCTCACCTTTATTCACTTTGCAGACATCGATTTTACAGATTTTCTGTTTTTTAGTTTAATCACATTTTGTTTGTTCTTCCGTCCAATCACTGCAGCTTCATGCGTTTTCAGGGCGCTGACAACTTTACTTTGCAACCGTAACACAGCTGTGATACTCCAACAACATTTTAAAAGGACTCTGTAAATAGCTGTAAACTATTAATATGTGAGGTCTCCTGTAACCAGCAGCACAGCCTGTTTGGACACCTGCAGTTATTATTAGCGCGACGTCGTACGAGCTGGCTGTGAATCTGAATTTGAATGTAAACTGGATTCAGAGAATGATCTACATGTTTCAGCTGTGCTTAACACCTGAGAAGAAGTGAATCTGTGTGCGTTTGCCAACAGTTTCTTCATTTTTAGTCAACAAACTGCAGAGTTTATTTCGTTATGTTTTGTTGGAAATGAAGAGAGAACACATGGTTTCAGGTTTCAAAGGGGTTTTTGGCAAGTTTAAAATCTTTTCTTTAAAAATGTGAATGTTGATTATGTGTTTAATGATGTTAGAGGCCGCATGTAAACTGACTACGGTGCAAAGTAGGAGATGGTTTACTAGATTTATAAATAGTTACTGGCCCAGTAAACCTTGAATGTCTCCCACAGTAGGACCAGCAAAGTCTTAAAGCTGTACTGAGCACTTCTTCTTTCCTGTAACACAGAAATATAAAGTTCAGCTAACCCGGGAGACGTTAAATGCACCTCATTAAAAGCCCTACATCAAAGTTGGTTATGTAAGCTAAAATATGGACATTTCCACATTTAAAATCAAAGTAATATCAGCTAATGAAGTCAAGATTAGCAGAATCAGCTTTGGGATTTACTTACCTGGACGATTGAGCATCAAGACACATATTAGCTAATGTTGCTAGCAGCTGTTTCACAAGAATTAGAAACATTACAAAACTAAAAGTAATGTAAAAATTACACTTTGGACAGAGCAGTTGTGTCTACTGTTAAAACATGTCTGATGATCTGATAGTTAATCTTAAAAACACACAAATAGTTCATGAAATTGAAGCTAACGAATGTGCTGAAGTGCGCTGGTTGCTACCATAGCTGGTTGCTACCGTAGCTGGATGATGTCATTGCTGCATCACCCACTGGTTCTCCAGTCTGCACTCAAGAACCAGTATAAATGTTGGAGGAGAGGATGGATTATTGGATATGCAGACATCTCGTACATACACTGTCAGAAGATGAAGTGACCGGGATGAGCGTCCTCTGCTCTGCTACAAATGTTAATAAGGCAATACCCCCCCGTCTCCACCCACTCTTCCTCTGTCTCTCTAAATGCCGCTCTCACACTTCAGTCCAGATTTAGACTTCAGTCTTTCCCAGACATTCTGTCTCAGCTGTCTCAAGCTTCACAGAGCAATTTGTCTCCCTCTCAGTTTGTCCAGTTTTCCGTCCTTCTCACCATGTCTGGACACCTCTTTATCTGACTTGGCAGCAAAGTCTCACAGGTCCTCCAGGTGGACAGTCCGTCACAGTGCTGCTGTCATTTTGATGCCCAGGGTTTTGTGGGTCAGTGTGATTCTACGTGTGCAGACCTCTTATTGCTGTTGTCTGCAGGCTATGGAACCTCTGGCAGAGGTAAGACGCTGTCCTCACCCTCCACCTCTGTGTGCTGCTGTTTGTTGTACGTGACTGGAACTACTTTTACATTACCTCAGATTACACATAGATAATGAACTGGACTGGGTTAAAAACACTGCTGCAGTCTGCAGGAAGGGTCAGAGTCGTCAACTGAGGTCTTTTAACATCTGTCAGACAACTCTCAGGATTGTCTGTTGTGGTCAGTGCTATCCTCTATGCTGTTGCATGCTGGGGCAGCAGGTTGATGCCAACAGACTCAATAAACTGATCCTAAGGCCAGCAATGTGGAGATGGAGCTGGACTCCCTTAAGGTGGTGTCTGAGAGGCAGATGTTAAGGATACGGTGATAAGGACAATACCTCCCACCCACTCGGCCAGTCACAGGATCGCCTTCACTGACATACTACCCATAATGCACCACTGAACGACACAGGAAGTCATTCCTGCCTGTGGCTGTCCTTTACAGT